AATGTAATGTATAAGTTATATATATATATATATATATTAAAGGATGGTGAAGGGTATATATATATATATATATTAAAGGATGGTGAAGGGACCCACAGTCTTTTTTAAAGTGGTCATAAGACCACGTTTTTTCTTTGTTGCTCATTGTAATCTCATTCCTTCTCTCCCATCTCCGTCTCTCTGTATACCTCTCGGCATCCTCTTTATTTTTTATTTTTTTATTTTTCATATTCAAGGCTTGATTTCTCCCTCATTTCTTGGTGTTTTTAAGAGCCGTTTGCGGCTATTCGAAGCCTACGATGAGATAAACACGTTGATAGGAGCAATTCCTTGATTGGTGCACTATAAGAGATTCGAAATTCTAGGGTTTGAGGTGAAAAAATTAGGGGTTTTGTATATAATTGAGGTAGGGGTGTCTAACTCACATTTTCTTGTTTCTTTGTGGGTTAATTTCTAGCAATTGTTATTAATTTGTCTAATTGATGGTAATTACCCTAGCATGAATTTTTTTATGTGTAAAGTTAATTTCTAGTAATTATTATTAATTTGTCTAATTGATGGTAATTACCCTTTCATGATTGTTTTTTTTTTTTTTTTTTTTTTTTTTTGTAAAGTTCATTATTTTATATTTACATGTTGATTTGTATGAAAATCATGTTTCAATGTTGTTTTACTATGTCTATAAAGTTGTAAATTGTGTTAGAAATGATATATGAATTCTTATATGATTTTCTTAGAAGTTTTAGTAAAGGATGACTAGTTGTGTTATATGAAAATTTCCTTTTTTCCATAGTAATGTAGGTATGAGACATACATGCATGCCATAGGGCATAAGAAAGGGTAAAGTAATTTGAAGTGAATAAGAATGGGTTTTTGGGAAAAATATTTTGAGAAAAAGATTTTGTGAAAAACTTGGCCACCTAGGAGTTGCCTAGGGACCATGGCGTTAGTGAGGCCTAGAGGGGACTAGGAAAATCGTCCTAGTGTGGTTGAGTTACCTGGCTCCCAAATGACGCCATGGAGTTGCCATGGGTCAGGGACAATGACCGATCCTCCTCTCGTGCTGCCATGGAGTTGCCATGGGATGGGTTCACTAATGGTTTGAAAATGATAATGGAAATAGTTTTGGAAAATGGGGAGTGGCATTGCATCGTATGGCATATCATTGCATGGCATATTCATTTGTGCTATCGGATTAATGATGTGGCATGGTGGTTATATTTTTTTCTCGATATGGTATGATCCCAATTTCTTTATTTCTATTCATGGTGTGAATTCACGGGACCACAAGAGGTTTTTTTTTGTCACCACCTACTGAGCAATTTTACTTACTCTATTATTTAACAGTTTTCAGGAAACGAGAAAGAAGTGGCGGATGACGTACCACCACAGGCTTAATTTGGATTAGAAGATTATTTTGCTATTTTTGTATCTAAGTCCCATATTTTTGTAAAACCTTATTTTGTCATATTTAGTATAGAGATTTGTGGACTCTTGCTATTATAGTTATATTCATGGACTTTAATTATGATAATTTGGATTAAATGATATGTGGATGTTCTGCCATGAGATGAACCATGTTGAGGCATAATGAACTGATGAATGAGATGTTGGGATATATTACTTGTATTGTGTGTTGGGACAGGTTGGATAGGTCTTGAAAGACCATTGCATATTTTTTTTTTTATTTGAGTAGGTTGTGGTAGGCCCCTTTTTAGGGGAGGTCATGTCGAATTTTTTATTTTATTTTTTATAAATGGGATCAACTTAGGGCCATTACAAGTAATGTTTCAATAAACGCTAAGAAATAAAAAGATTAACTTGTGTGTGATTACTTGAAGGTGATATTTAATATTTGAATATTAAAAATGGTCTTTTAATATTTAATCTATTACTACAGAATAATAAAATAAAAAATATTTAAAAATCATATTTATTACGTTTTAAGATGGAAAGTCAGAGTTTTGTATTAGAATTTTGGTTGAACTATTAGATAATATAACTTACTAATCTATCTATTTCAGCGAGGGCATTAAACATGCACAAAAAAATAAAAATTCTTACAATAATTTTATATTATTTTGTAATTTTAATTTTACATTTCTAGTTTGTTCCCTCAATTAAAAATTTCTAGCTGCATAGGGTGTTGGCCGCCACAGTGGTGGAGTTTTTTTTTATTTTTTAAAGGTTATTTTGGTTTAATAAAAATACTTAAAAAGATTAGTATTATACTTTAATAATTTAAATGGGTCAATTGAAACGATTGTGATTCCTAAATTGTATTTTTACTGTCTTTATTGCAAACACGAAGGATGTGAGTGCAAATTACGACTTAAATCTTGTCACTATCCCGCTGCCCTGTGTGACATAGACCTAACTAACTTCATCTTCTTAACCCTGCATCGGCCAATACTTAGTTCAGAACACCATATATTTCGATCAGGCGATGTGCATCCTACGCTTGGTGCTTCAAATGGAGCGCGGCAATGGATCCAATCTGGCAGTCTATTTTAAAGGATTTGAATTTAAGAGGGGTTGGATATAGATCTTCATTGGAGGATGCAATTAATCTTCGTAAACTTCAAATGGATTGAATTTTATCCAAGATCTGATCCTGATCAAGTGTACGTTATTCTACTTAGATCTTGTTTAAATTATATGCTCCACACAGGATATACATTAATGATAAAGGATACGGTTTTGATTTGTATCCAGATATGAATTCTCACATTATAATACACATTTAGAGCTAAATTTACCTGAATTGGCTCCAAATTTTGAAATATTGAAAGTCTGGGCTCCTTGAAAAGAGGCATGAGCCCTTCAAATTTAACTATTGGATTGTTACAGTTTTTTGAAATTTGTAAAAAATTAAACTTGTAATTTAATATATCTTTCAATTCTTTAGCTGAATAAGGAGATCTGGGCTGTCATGATAGCATTACTCATCCTAAAATTATAGAAATTTCGATTGGTTTTTGTTTTTGTTTGAATGACTTGACAATCAATGATATAAACACCATAAAAGGAGAGGAGAAACTATGTTCTTATCCTGAATAAGAGTGGGGAAAAGATGTATGGATCATATGAATGGTCCCGGGCCAATCAACAACTAAGCAAATGAGTCAAAATTGGTGTTAAATGGTGATCGGTCGAAACCAATGATCCTGGATCATGTAATAATTTCTCAAATACCTTGGTAAGCCCTTGAATGTGTTTAGGAATGCATTGGTTTGATGTTTTTTTAGTGGCATGTTGCTTTTTATTAATTAGGCCAGAACAGTTGACTTCAAATTTTAAGAGAAGTGTGGGCATAATAAAGGCAGACAGACATTGTTAGATTAACCATGCCCACTTGTTTGTTTGTTTAGTCCTATGATTCAGTCTTTCCTTCTCCCTTAATTGTTCCTACTTATTTATTTCCACAAATCATTTCCCATTTTCACAAATCATTTCCCAGATATAATATTGTTCGTATTTGGCTCCCCCAGACCAAAGACTTTAGGTCACTCATCCTGGTACTACTATAGATTAAGCACGCTTAATTTCGGAGTTCTTGTGAGTTCAATCATAGAAGGGTGAAGAACCTACATATAGTATTTCACCTTTCCCAAGTGATGTGGGATCATGACAACCTGTAGTCTGCCAGTGCATGCCCACATCACACCTGCCAACAGTCTCATGTCATATGGTGACTTATTCCTTATGTGTCATTACACATGGTGACCCACATGAGAATATACCCGCATACCTTAGTCAACCTGTGAACGTGTCCTAGGTTTGATATTTTTTAGTCGCATGTTGCTTGTTATTTATTTGGTCATGTAATATTAATCCAGGAACAAACAGTTGACTTAAAATTTTATACAAACAGTTGCTTGTTCTAGTGCTTTCTTAATGTTGAAAACAGTTCTCTTTCTTCTCAAATTGTTATTTGTTTTCTCCAATAATTCACTCTTTGCCTCTCCCTTAATTGTTCTTACTTCTTTTCCACAAATCATTTCCCATTGCACTTGCATAATAATGTATTGTGGTCCCATTTCTTTAGTAATGGGGTGGGTGTGTGTATATATATATATATATATATATATGTATGTATGTATTTGTGAGGTTAAATTATAGTGGGTTCAAACCAGTACAAGTTTGCGGAAACACTGCAGGGACACCTTCCCCACAATCATGACTCAATATGGTATGTTAACGAAAATTAGAGGATGGAACGCAGAGAAGTGGAGAAGCTTAAATTAAAGTTCAATTGTTTCAACTTAATCATAAGGTTGTTTTAAGCAAAATACATTCAAAATCTGTAAGTTTAGCAGAAGATATTGTGTCATGAACTGTAGAAGCTTTTGGTTCTTCAGTCCAAATATTTCAATGCCAAATTTTCAGTTTTATCGAACATCTGCTATAGTCTCGGACCTGTCCTCCCACCCGAGTGCCTGTGCTTAAAAAAATCATATCAAGAAATTCATATAATAGAATTGAATTTACCTCCAGATAATGGTGGCTCTGATTTCAAATGCCAATATAGTAATATGAGTACTGACAAGAAACATATTAAAAAGATAGTAATAAAAAAATAAAAAATAAAAATAAAAATAAAATAAAGAGGGAAGTTTTAATGGGTGGGTGCATGATAGTGAGATTTAGGCTTGTGACTTTTTCCTATTTTTGGGCAACATAAAATGCCTCAAACACATGGCCATGGTCAGTCTCTCTATATATACAAGTTCAGTTTCTTGTACATTTATGTTCACAATTTAGTCACTTCCTTGCTTGTTTTGTGTAGCATCCTAGCTTGGCACTTTCTTATTTTCTTGCTAAGTTATGCTATAGTTTCTATCAGTTTAGATACATTTCCATATATATATATATATATATAAATCAAAATGTTGTCAGTTGGAGTATTGTTTGTTGTAGCAGTGCTTACCATTTGCATTACTCATTGGATTTACAAATGGAGGAATCCCAAATGCAATGGAGTGCTTCCTCCAGGTTCAATGGGCCTCCCTGTTATTGGGGAGGCTCTTCACTTAATCATCCCGAGTTACTCTCTGGATTTGCCACCTTTCTTAAAACATAGACTCAAAAGGTACTGCAACTCTATATATCCTACTATACGCCGTTATTGGATTTTTTTTCCTTCTCTTATCTGCATATTCTCTTGAAGTCTTGTTAATGTAAAAATGACCACAAAATAACCCTTTGAACTTAAAATGTCGATGAATTAATCCCTTGATTGCGTTACCATTGTATGCCACATCCTTTTGCAATAAAATCCTTGATTTTGCATGTCAATGGATAGTGATTCACCGTCTTCTTAATTGTTTCCTTAATGCAGATATGGGGAAATTTTCCGAACAAATGTGGCAGGTCGGGCTGTTATTGTATCAGCTGACCCTGAGTTCAACTATTTTCTCCTTCAGCAACACGGCAAGTTGGTTGAGTCGTGGTCTTTGGACACATATGCAAAAGTTTTCGCACAAGACTCTAGGTTTGATCGTGCTGATGTCCAAAAATATGTGAGAAGCTTGGTCTTGAATCACTTTGGTGCAGGAGCCATCAGAGAGAAGCTTCTTCCTCAGTTTGATGAAGTGGTTCGCGAAACTCTTTGTGCTTGGTCAAAGCAGGACTCACTTGAGATGAAAAGCGCGGCTGCAAAAGTAATTTTCAGGCCCATCTGTTCGCTATATAAACTAACTGCATCTGCATATGCATTTATTCTATGATTGTAACAAATTCCATTTGGTCATGACAGATGACTCTAGACTTTGGAGCAAAGCAGCTATTTAGCTATGAATCCGAAGAGTCACCTGTGAAGCTAAGTGACTTGTTCAGAAATTTCGGACAAGGTCTAATGTCCCTTCCCTTGAACATCCCCGGTACTGCACACCATAGATGTTTAACTGTAAGTAGATAATCTTTTCCTAATAATCAGTTTTAAATGATCAAAATAGTTACTTATTCACGCTGAAAAAGGAAAGACGCTTGTTTAGAATCACAAAAAGGTGTCAGAGATGGTGAGGTATGAGTTGAGAAGGCGGCTCATGTCAACTGAGAAACATCAAGGAGACTTGCTTGATCATTTCATTCGAGACATGAACACCGAGAATTTCATCACAGAGGATTTCGTTGTTCAGCATATGTTCGGCTTTTTATTCATCATCTTTGATTCAATTTCGACATCGATTGCATTAGCTTTAAAGCTACTTGCAGAACACCCTTTGGTGTTAGAGGAATTAACTGTAAGTTTAAATATTTAAGAACTTTCGAGCTATATTTGTATATAAGTTCCTCTGGTTATACTGTTGGTGTTTTTTCATCAGGCTGAGCATGAGGCAATCCTTAAGAACAGAGAGAATTCTGATTCTCCAATCACGTGGGAAGAGTATAAATCAATGACATTTACACTACAGGTCAATTACAAAAATTTTAAATTTCTTTTTTTCCTTAATATGACCTACATTAATGGATGTACTTAAGAAACTTGCTGGTCTATTGTAAATTACAGGTAATCAATGAAACTCTTAGGTTGGCCAATATTTCACCAGGGATGTTTCGAAAAGCATTAAAAGATATTAAAATAAAAGGTACACTTGCATCAAAATTGGTTTAGCTATTTTTCTGCAGAGTTCAATTTAAATTGATCACTAATTCAGATATATTTTTTTGCAGGATACACAATTCCTGAAGGCTGGGTAATTTTGCTTGCCACTTCTGTTCTTCACCTGAACTCTGATAAATTTGAGAATCCACTCGAATTCAACCCAAGGCGTTGGAAGGTGGGAAATGCTATCACGAGCTGCTAAACATTGAACCAGGCTTCATTTAATCTTTTATTTTCTTCATTTTCATAAAATTAACTAATTTCTAGTGGCATTCTATTCTTGAATCCCTTGACAACTATTATTCTTTTTTTTTTTTTCTAAATGAAAAACAGGACCTTGAGTCATCCGTTTTAGCTAAGAACTTCATGCCATTTGGATCCGGCATGAAGCAATGTGCAGGTTCAGAGTATAGTAGGGTGTTTATTGCCACCTTTCTCCATGTCTTGGTCACAAAATACAGGTATTTTTCTTCCTGATTCGTTCGGTTTTTTTTTTTTTTTTTTTTAGTTAACGGTTGGGTCTGTCTTGCAGCTTTGCTATCCAAACTTTCGAGCATATACATATTCTTAGTAGTGTTTTTATGCACATTTAATCTGACAAGCACGATGGACTAACCAGTTTAAATATATATATTTTTGGATTACTGTAGATGGACAAAAATCAACGGATGTGAGGTTATGCGATCACCTATTATAAGATTTCCAAACGGACTTCACTTCAAAGTCTCTGAAAAGAAGAATTGAAGGGTTTGCTATTGTTCAGTTCTTGGAATCCTTTGAATATTTCCGTAGAAAAGAAGAGTTTGATATTTTCAGTTCTGAGGATTTCTTTGAATAGGCTTGCTCTGAAAGGATGAGGAATGATGGGAGGATTTCCAAATTCCAAACTACTTAAGAGTCTTCTTTTAAAAATTTATGCATCTTGTCATCTATTCTTAGATGGTGTATATATATATATATATAAAGTTGACAGTAAATGTAGTCTGTTGGATATTGAATTGTATCAGTGCTTACCATCTGCATTACTCATTGGATTTACCAACTGTATAACCCTGCTACATTCTTATTAACTTAAATTTTATTCTTTTATCTTCTTCAAATTTGCAGAGGAATGGGATAATTGAAAAGGATCGGAATTCTATATAAGATCAGAATCGTAAGATCGAATCGAGAATTGTAAGATTTTATAAAATTATTAGAAAAGTAATTCAAATTATTTTTGGAAATTAATTATTTTTTATATAACTAGAGAATAAAACCAAATAAGATACTCTAGTAATACTAGGACACACAACAAAAACTTAAAATCAAATTCTTGATTTAAGCATAACAATCAGGTAAAATCTCATGGAAGAAATTGAAGTAAAGCCTAAACAAATAGAAAAGTGGAAAAAACAAGTAGAGAGATGAAAGTACAATTTAGTTGCCTAATTATCTGAGCAATTTAATTGATCAAAAGTTGAACAACGAAGAAAAAGAAAAAAATAAAATAAAAATTTAAGGGCCTACTTGGTAACTCTGAAAACAAATTTCAATTTTATGAAAACTCAAAGTTACACACTAAGCCGGTCCGAAAGAAGAAAAATGAAATTAACAAGAATAAAACAAAACAGATGAACTTTTTGAAGCTTTGAACCATATCTTTGAAATTCAAAATTGGATCATCTCTACATTTGATGTCGGGTCTTTGATTTTTTATTTTTGTTTTCATTTTTAATTTTTTATAATGTATTTGGGGGTAAAGAATTGGACTCTATATTTAAAATAATTAAATTTATTTGTCCAAAATAAATTATAATAGCAAATAAATTCGGAAGATAACACTATTTAGTAGAATTAATAGGGGTTGTTTGATCTTATGCGATTCTATTTTTGAATCTACAAATCTTACCGAGAGCGATTCTACTTCCAAATCTACAAATCCTACCGGGATTCTAATTTCTAACAGTTTCGTATGGCATCAGGATCAGTTTGACAATTTGGGATCGGAATAAAAAATTTAACAATCATGATTGAAAGTCGTCTCAAGATGAAAATGACTGGGGAATGACAACTTGTGCTAACAAAATCAATGAACCCCTAAATCGCATTTGCATAATCCCTGTCAAGTGTTAAATAGCAAAAGGCCAAGCTAACTTTTCTATGAATTGTCATTTTTACGCTGTTTGATTTACTATATTATTTTATTTTATTTATATATATATATATTTGGAAGGTTAATATTTTAACCCCAAAGCCTTCGTCTTCAACCCTCAACAAAATCCCTACAACGTCCCAAAACCAGTTCGAGGACTTCTTTGAGTCATTTTACCAAACATTTCTTGCACAAGCCAGCTGTCCAAAATTGGGCGGTGAACAACGAACAGTCAATCAATCCTATTTTTGAAAACGCAAACACACATTTCCTAATCAAGTAGTCTCAGGCCGCAGGCCTCAATGATTCACCTTTGGCTTTTGCACACACTACCACACCTCTACTCAGTGACGAACCCAGGTCCGTGCCTGCCTCTACTGTCTACACTTTTCCGTACAACATCTACACGTATGCACGTAATATGCATTATTAATAGTACTTCTGTTCCCACACCACACAAGAACCACTCATGTCCACGTCTTTCGTTTCATTTCATGGTCCCACTGTCTCCACATTATTGCTGGCAATCAATAAAACTTGATTTTGTGATTTTTTTATAAGCTTTTTCTTGTCTTTTCATACAAAATCAAGACCAGCTCTGTCAGTATTATTTTGAGAGTTCTAACGTACTTAGCCTGAGTGGACGTTGAGGGAAGACGATGTAATTAAGGTCATTTTTGACCATCTTGTGCAATTTAGACATATCAAGGGATGCGATCACAATTTAACTTACTTTATTCTAATTAGATGTTGGTTTAAATTATATATGGAATCATATTCATACGATCCGGTTTTGATTTGGATAAAAAAAATATGAATTATGTCATTAAAATACCCATTTAGGGCTTGATGGAGGTGGGTTTGCTTCACATGCGTCTAATTTTAAAAATCACTACATGATTTGTCCGTTCAATCACCATTTAATACTTATAAAAAAAAGTTAAATAATATTTTACACGTTTCTAACACATTTATTTGAATGTCAAATAGTGATGTTAGAACCATGCAATAATAGATATGGATCACATATACTTTAGTTCTTATATCCCCTCCCTCTCAGTATAATTGTGAGTCATAATTCACTAAGACAATAATTATATTAAAATGGAGGTAGTACATCTTTTTCCTAAATTATTTCCCTATTGCACTTCTTTATATACTAAATAGTTACGGTCTCGACCCACAAATAATTTTTTTAAGAAAATATTAGACACATTTGCAGTCCCGAACCAATCACCACTTCACATGTATCATGTTCACAACAGTATCAACGGGTTGATCTGGCCAATACTACTCCCTTATAGGTGGTACTCACTGAACCGCTTTTTACAATACCGGCCAATTTGAGCAACTTTCAATTCGAAAGTTTTAAATGCTCAGTGTGCTCTCGTGTAATACATGGGACAGTGTGCAAGTGTGACAACTCAATTAAAAAAAAAAAAAGTTTTGTAATCTGAAAGTTACTTTAAAAAAAAAAAATCTATTCTCTTGATTTTTTGCGGGGTGAATTATGTATTATTTTTAATTTTTTTTAACATTAATTTTAGAACTAAATTATATGTTGAGTATTTATTTATTTCACAATTAAGTTTATTTTTACTTATAATTTTACAAGAGTAATAATACCAAGCATTTTTAATACCGACAACAATATAAAATTTATTACATATGTTAAATAATTTTTGAGAAAATTATTAAATCTCATCAAAATTCATTTTTATCGAATTAGGCAGTAGAAAGTTGAGTATCATTGCATTTTAGTTGGTATGCTCATGTTTCAAAAAAATTCAATACAAGTTTGTGAAAACATTGCAGGGAGACCTTCCCCCAATCACTACTCAGTACTCAATTTGGTAGTTAATGTAAATTAGAGAATGGAACAGTAGACATGCTTAAATTAAAGTTCAATCGTTTCAACTTAACCGAAAGGTTATTTTAAGCGGAATATATTCAAAATCTACAAGTTTAGTAGAAGGTATTGTGTCATGAACCGTAGAAGTTTTGGTGCTTAGTCTTAATATTTTAGTGCTAAATTTTCAGTTTTATCGAACAATTGTTAAGATTCGGGACCTGTCTTATCCAACGGCGCGGCAGAGCTAGAATTTTATTTCAGAGGGGGTTGATGTGACTTTGGTGTGTACACAAAAATGTGTTATATTTAGAATGTCAAATAGGCATCAACTTTTACATTTATAAAAGCCACTTAACACATATACGTTTGTACAATAAAGAGGGATTGTTCTCAAGGATTAAACACGTGATTAGAATCAAACTTAACTTAGTGAATAAGAGATTGAAAGGAAGTTTGTTTGGTTGACTAATCTAATGTTCAATTAATGAAATATGCAATGGAAATAAATGTTAAAATGAGTGTGGTTTAAAGATAGAAGAGGAATTTTGGGGCATAGGAATCACTACTAAGCTCATGCATTAAATCACTTGCCTTCAACTAATGGGAAAAAATTATATTGTAATCAAAATGTGGCTACAAGCACACATCAATCAAGAGGATGATACAAATTGTAATAAGCATGGACTATTAAATTCAAGTATGAATTATCTACTTAACTACAATTAACCTAATGGTGTCGTGCAATTCATCAAGCCTAAGCATAATTCATCAAACTAATTAACAATTGTATCAAATAATTAAGAAATATGTATAGCCATCACTAAATACAATTATAAAGAACATTTAGTGTAGAGATTAATTCTCAATTAATTACATATAAGACAACATGTAACCAACAATAAGAATCAATAGGAATAATTATCCATAAAAGTCTTGGTACAACCAAGTTTGATTACACAAGATTATAACACAAATTACAGCATATAAATCCCCAAAAATTGAAGAGCAAGAGTTTAATTACACAAGCTTAAGGCTCGTCCAAGCCCTAAGTGAAGGACTAGCCACTCATGGAGAAGGTAGATGTTATCAAGGTGTCCTCAAGATCCATCTCCAAGCTTGGCTTCATCTTCTTCTTCTTCTTCTTCCTTAGTTAAAACCCTAGAGAGATCGAGAAATTAAATCTAGAGGTTCTTCTTTGCTCTTCTAATCTCTAATTCTATTTCTAACTTGCTAACCTTGCTTATAACTATCCCATCCTTGTAAAGATGGTTCAATCCCTCTTTTTATAGTTGTCCCTTGGAGGTCAAAATGAGTCAAAAATGTCCCATCAAATGATGCAATCCCGCAACCCATTGGTCTTTGAAATTTGATCCTCAACGAGCCTTTTAAAACTACTCAGCATAAGTTGCGATCGATCGCACAATGTCAGGATTGATTGTAACTTGGATAGTTTCGATCGCAGCTAAGGTGGTTGATTTTGATCTTATGTTCATCATTATCGATCGCAAGTTGCAGGATCTATTGTAGAGTTGGCAGGATCGATCGCAGAGTTGACTTTTTGCTGACTGGGCTTATCCACTTCAGGATCGAACTTGGAAAGGTAGGATCGATTGTGGCACTGTTCTTTGGCAATTTCTAGAACTTTTACAGCTGCATTTGCTTGACTCCAAAAAGACATTAATGAACTGAATTTAGCCTGGCCGTTTGAACCTTATTGATTTGAAATTGACAATAACACAATTTAGAACTAAAACGGGAAAGTAAGAATAGATGAAGGGTCTAAAATACCTAAGAATATGACTGAAATATGCATATTTCATAGGGGTGCAACTTGGGTTGGGAAATCCGAACCCAACCCGAGTCCAACCCGAATTTTTACGAATTTTGACAATCATTTTTACAATTAGGGTTGGGCTTGGATTGAAAAACCTTAACCCGAATTGAATTAGGGTTGGGTTTGGGTTGAAGTGCTAGCAACCCGAGCCAACCCGAATGCGAATTATAATATTATTTTCATATATATTTTTACTTTAAAATACATTATATATATTATATAAAATATGATTACCGTTTTTGTTTTCAACTTCTTTTATTAAATCTTAACTTATTGTTTGTAATTTATTAAAAATCTACAAAAAGTCTTTGAATTTTTTTTTTTGTTTAAGAGTAATTTAATCTAAAACTAATTCAAGATCATATTAAATATTCGGTGTGAAAAGTATCCATATAAGTTACTCGAATTAACCCGAAATTTTAACACAAAATCTAAATCCGAATTTAAAAGTAAAAAGATAGGTTGGGCTTGGGTTGAGTAGTTAGGGTTGAGAATAGGGTTAGGGTTGGAATTGGATTTAGCATTTCATATGGTAGGTTGGGCTTAAGTTATACCTCAAACCCACCCAACCCGCCCTAGTTGTAGCCCTAATATTTTAACACTTATCAAGGGAACAATGCACTTATTGAGAAAATAAAATAAAATAAAATCAAAAGGCAAACAAGGAAAAACAAATAATTGTAAAATAATATGTTAAATAAGTACTGAAAAAAAAAAAATTACTTACCAATATAAGAATCAAAATATTGATTAATAATATTTTAATAAAATAAAATTACAATCATCATCGATTAAAAAAAAAAAAAAAAAAATAGTGGAAAAAATGTTTAAAAATTTTAGGGGGGGGGGGGGGGGGGGTACTATTAAAAATTACAATATAAGTATATATATATAAAAAATATATATACTTAAGTGTAGTAGGTTAGAGGAAGGGCTGGGGAGTAGGTGTCTGTCTTAATTAGCTCCGCCCCTGGTCCTATCCACACCTTAGTCCATGTGCTTAAAAAAAAGGGAAAATTACATATAAATGGAGTCAAAGTTTCATATTTACTTAGAGACTGAGTCAAAGTTCCATATTTCTCTAAAATGGATTGCTGAGGTGGCACATGGTTTTTTACTGTTTAAAAAATTGTGGTGTCTAAAATGCCCTTCCCTAATAAAAAAATAGTACCTTCAGTTCAAAAAAGTAGTACCTTCAATTCAAAAAAGTAGTACCTTCGGAGAAAAAGTAGTACCTTCGCGAGTGTTTAAAAAACATGGTACCTGGACGCCAAAAAGTAGTACCTTCAATTCAAAAAAGTAGTACCTTCGAAGAAAAAGTAGTACCTTCGCGGAAGGGTATTTTAGGCATCACAATTTCTAAACAGTAAAAAACCATGTGCCACCTCAGCAATCCATTTTAGAGAAATATAGAACTTTGACTCAGCCTCTAAGTAAATATGGAATTTTAACTCCATTTATATATAATTTTTCCTAAAAAAAAATCATATCAAGAAATTCATGTAATCAAACTGAATTTACTGCCAGATAATGGCGGTTCTGATTTCAAATGTCATTATGTGATTACACTATGCTTTTCTTTTTTGAGAGTAGTGGGATTAGAGGATAAGAAATTGAATGCATCCCTAATACAGTACTATGAGTACTGACAAGAAACATGTTAAAAAGATAGTAATAAATAAATTAAAAAAAAGAAAAAGAAAAAGGAAAGAAAGGGGTAATTTTAAATGGTGGGTGCATGAAAGTGAGATTTAGGCTTGTGACTTTTTCCCATTTTCGGGCAACATAAAATGCTTCAAACACATGATCATGGTCAGTCTCTTTATATATATATACAAGTTCAGTTTCTTGTATATTTTCATTCACAATTTAGTCACTTCCTTGCTTGTTTTGTGTAGCATCCTTGCTTGCCACTTTCTTTTTTTCTTGTTAAGTTATGCTATAGTTTCTATCAGTTTAGACACATTTCCATATATATATATATATATATAAATCAAAATGTTGTCTGTTGGATTATTGTGTGTTGTAGCAGTAGTTACCATTTGCATTAGTCACTGGATATACAAATGGAGGAATCCCAAATGCAATGGAGTGCTTCCACCAGGTTCAATGGGCCTCCCTGTTATTGGGGAGGCTCTTCACTTAATCATTCCCAGTTACTCTCTGGATTTGCCACCTTTCTTAAAACATAGACTCATAAGGTATGCAGCTCTCTCTCTCTCTCTCTCTCTCTCTCTCTATATATATATATATATATATTTCGCCGAACCGTTAAGCAATGTTATGTATAGGTAAAATGAGGAGGCATATTGCCTTCACCTGTCGTTTTAAACTTAAGGTAATGGGGTACACCTAGTTTCCTTTTTTGTTGTTAAGGCGAAAATGACTACAGAATAACTCTTTGTACTTAGAAATTCAATGAATAAATCCTTTCATTGCTTAATGCAGATATGGGGAAATTTTACGCGAAAATGTTCTTGACCTTAGCTTTATGGTACTTAGTTTTACGCGAAAATGTTCTTGTTTAATGCAGATACGGGGAAATTTTTCGAACAAATGTGGCAGGTCGTGCTGTTATTGTATCAGCTGACCCTGAATTCAACTACTTTCTCCTTCAGCAACACGGAAAGTTGGTTGAATCATGGTCTATGGACACATTTGCAAAAATTTTCGGACAAGACTCTAGGGTTAATCGTGCTGATGTTCGTAATTATACAAGAAACTTGGCCTTGAATCACTTTAGTGCAGAAGCCATCAGAGAGAAGCAGCTTCTTCCTCAGCTTGATGAAGTGGTTCGAAAAACTCTTCGTGCTTGGTCGAGACAGGACTCTGTTGAAATGAAAAGCGTGGCTGCAGAAGTAATATTTTTAAGGTTCATCTGTTCACTATAAAAACTAAATGCATTTATTCTATGATTGAAACAAATCCATTTGGTCATGACAGATGGTTCTAGACTTTGGAGCAAAGCAGCTATTTAGCTATGAACCCGAAGAGTCACCTGTGAAGCTAAGTGACTTGTTCAGAGATTTCGGACAAGGTCTAATGTCCCTTCCCTTGGACATCCCCGGCACTGCACACCATAGATGTTTGAAGGCAAGTAGGATAATCTTTTCCAAATAATCAGTTGTGAATGATCAAAATAGTTACTGATCGACACTGACCAAAAAAAAAAAAAAAAACTTGTTTAGATTCACAAAAAGGTGTCAGAGATGATGGGGAATGAGTTGAGAAGGAGGCTCATGTCAACCGAGAGGCATCAAGGAGACATGCTTGATCATTTCATTCGAGACATGAACTCTGAGCAGTTCATAACAGAGGATTTCATTGTTAAGCATTTATTCAAGTTTTTATTCACCATCTTTGATTCGGTTTCAACATCAATAGCATTAGCTTTAAAGTTACTTACAGAACACCCTTTTGTGTTAGAGGAATTAACTGTAAGTTTAACTATATTTCAAGAACTTTGTAGCTATATTTAATTATATATATATATATATATCTATATCTATATATATATATATATATATATATATATATATATAAAATTTCCTGATGTGGTTATACTTCTGGTGTATGTTCCATCATCAGGCTGAGCATGAGGCGATCCTCAAAAACAGAGAGAATTCTGATTCTCCAATCACATGGGAAGAATATAAATCGATGACATTTACACTACAGGTCAAGTACAAAATTTCTAGGTGCTTTGTTTCTCTAATATGACCTACTTTGATGTACTTAGAACCGGCTGGTCTATTGTAAATTACAGGTAATCAATGAAACTCTTAGGTTGGCAAATATATCACCGGGGTTGTTTCGAAAAGCATTAAAAGATATCAAAATAAAAGGTACACTGGCGTCAAAATTGATTTAGCTTTTTAAAATTTTTCTGCAGATCTAGAGTTCAATTGTAATTGATCACCAATTTCGATATGTCTGTTTGCAGGATACACAATTCCTGAAGGATGGGTAATTTTGCTTGCTACTTCTGCTCTTCACCTGAACTCTGACAAATTTGAGAATCCACTCGAATTCAACCCAAGGCGTTGGAAGGTGGAAGATTTGATTATGAGCTTCTAAACATTGAATCAGGCTTCATTTATCCTTTTATATTCTTCATTAATTTTCATAAAATTTACAAAGTTCTAGTGGCATTCTATTGTAGAATCCCTTAACAGCTTTTTCTTTTTTCTTTTTCGAAATGAAAAACATGCAGGACCTTGAGTCATCTGTTTTGGCTAAGAACTTCATGCCATTTGGATCAGGCTTGAGACAATGTGCAGGTTCAGAGTATAGTACGGTGTTTATTGCCACCTTTCTCCATGTCTTGGTCACAAAATACAGGTATTTTTCTTCTTAATACTTTATATAGTTGCACGTTAGAGTCTCAGAACAGTCACTTTGTGCATAACAATGTTAACAGTAGGGATCTAGCTTTGCTATCCGAACACTTCAAAAAGGCGACACATATTCTAAGTAGTGTATATTTGCACACTTAATCGGCCAAGCGTGATGGTTTAACCAGTTTATTATTATTTTTGTTATTGTAGATGGACAAAAATCAACGGATGTGAGGTTACGCGATCTCCTATTATAAGATTTCCAAACGGATTTCACTTCAAAGTCTCTGAAGAGAATACATAGTTGAAGGCTTCTCTATTTTCAGTTCTTGGAATCCTTTGAATAATTCCTTACAAAAGAAAAATTGAAGAGTTGGCTATTTTCAGTTCTTAGAATTCCTTTGAAAGGAGAAATGATGGGAGGATTTCCAAGCTATTTTAGGGGCTTTGGTGGTTGTTGTTGTTATTGTTTCTGTAAATGTAGCATCTTGGTGGACATGTCAGACAAATGTATTGTTGAGAATAAAATCTTTATGAGTAATTGGTTGGTCTTGCTCAACTTCTGTGCTACATATATATTCTGTGTCTATATATCTACATAGATGCAGCATGTTACTCTAGGGCAAAACAATTAACACGATGTTTTTTTTTAGTAAGTAAAATATTATATAAAAATACCTTGCTCATCACTTCCACTCCCTCTTTTAAAAATGTGTTATTATATCTTTTAATTAATACGAAAAAAACATCCCTTAAATTATCTTTTGCTGGTCTCTGACATAAAATGTAATGGCCGTTTTTTTTTTTTTTTTTTAGTGGTACTTGCATACACTTGTCTCTTCTGATATCTGAACTCCTGACCTCCCTTTAGAAGGTAAGAGGCTAATACCATTAGGGCACTGGCCAGTTGGTCCGTTTTGTCCTTCTTATTGCTATTGCTTCTATTCCTCACCTTGAACTTGCTAACTTTCTGCTGCTGTTGGAATTGGATATCCATTTTGTGTAAGAATAAGTTTATATGCTTCATCAAACAAATTTGGGTTGGGAAAATACCTTAGAATTGGTTGCGCCAAATTTAGAACCGGTTGAATAAGTTTTAAACTTGAGTTTTATTTCTTCTGATATATGTATATTTTTAGTTGATACTCACACACACATATTTTTACTAGACTTGAATCCTGACCTTTCTTTGAAAAATAAGAATCTGGCCTGTTGGTTTAATTCTATTTTTTTTTTTTATTGTTGTTCCGCGTTTCCTTGTTCCCAACACAATAATACTTGTAACCACTCAATAATTCTTACAAGAAAATTAAAACAAACAAATAAATAATAAAGTAAGTTTTAAAAAGTTTGACATTCTCCAACACCCAAGTAAAAATGGGAAAAAATATTCAATACGCTGAAATGCCGTGACCAAGCCAATGAAAACTCTCCATTCCCTTTGATAATAAAATACAACAATCGGTCATTGATAGGATAATTTTTTTAATGAGAAAAACTTAAATGTTTTAAATACAGTAATGACATAATATAATGCACTAATTAAAACAAAAATGCATATATTTTTGTAAATATTATTAGCCGTTACTCCATACTTAATACTTGGAAGAGCATTTTTAGCAAGTTCAAAGAGTCCTTTTTGCCTTGCGTATAACATTTAATATTCTCGGTGATGAGGTGTGGAGGTGTTTTTCGAGTAGTAAAATAATCTTATGGTGTTCTCACACCCTACTAATTCTACGTTGAATTTCCCCTCCTTCGACAAATCATTGTCAAGCCAAAAAAAAAATAAAAAAATTCTGGGTGATAGCCGGGAACTCTTAATTTTTCTTGATTTTTTTCCATATCAAGAAAAATTAAGAGTTTATATGTCTGTATATTTTTTTATTTTTTATTTTTTGATGACGTGAGAATTTTCAAAACTATCCGCTCTTTAAACTTATAACTATCACATAAATTGCTGTCTATTCACCTCAACTACACAATGCAAACAGTATTTTAAATCAAGAGTAATAATAGAGATCCACGAGTTCAAACCTAAAACATTAGAGCGTCCAGATTCTTGTCAAGGGACAAGTTGGCATGGTGTATGGACCATATGCCATGCATGTAACTTAGTAAACCTGGGAATGTGTCCAAAAAGTAGGGACTACAGAAATTTGAGCCACATGAGTTGCGAATGCCATTAATCGTTTTGTCAGAAAATTCAACAGCAAATAATGGTGGTGCTGTTCCCAAATTATCCCTATTATTGAAAATATCTAATTTTGTGACTTTTGTCCCATTATTCAATAACAAATAATGGTAATTCTGGTCTCACGCTTTTTGTCTCTTTTTGATCTCGCACAATTGTAACTGCTTTTACGCTTTTGCACTGGTTCTCACACTCACTAAACGACTTAAATTTGATTTCAAATTATTCCTATTATTGAAAATATATACTTATATATAAGCACACATATAAATTTGATTTCAAATTATTCCTATTATTGAAAAAATATATATATATAAAAGCACACATATAGAGAGAAATTTTTTGTGGATCCCCATCTTAATCAATTGCAACCAAAGAATTTTTTTTTTTTTTTTTTTTTTTTTTGATTTACGGGAGAAAATATAAATTTTAGCAAACTAAATGACATATTCTTTCCAAATATGATTTTTTATAAAATTTGGGTTGGTTAATAAAAAAATTACAATAAAACAGAAATAAAAGCAATCCAAAATTTTTTAAAAGAGTATATATATAAAACAAAATTTCAATAGTTAAATTATCAAGTTGTACCTTTTCTTAATGTAATTACCATTAATGCCACCAAAAGGGCGTGTGCTGTGTCAGAAATTGCCGAGTTGTATGCCACTTCTTGAAACTGAATCAACTGATCCCAGAAGAATTAAACTCCAAGACATCATAAAATAAAGAGTAATTATGATGGGCGTTTTAGTCGTTTTGTATTTATGATATTTTGTTATAATTAATGAATTAAATAAGTAAGAGTAATATAGACATTTCACTGGGTTTTTACGTTAAAAAATTGAGAGGGAATGTCACCGGCCAAAAAGTGGCTTTCACCTAGGTATCAATATGATAAATTTAATAATGATAAATGCAATAACTATAAATGTAAAATAGATTCCTAATTTACTCTCTCAAGAAATTTCATGAATTTTTATTTTTAGTGTAAATTCTTTAAATTATTATTATTTATTTTTTGCGTTAATTTTACTGACACTGTTTAGATTTGACAAAATATCACTTTGAAATAACTTTCGAAAATTACTATCTACAAACGTTTGATCTATTTTTTACTCACACTCCAAAGGTTATTTTTCAATTGTGTCAGAGCCCTTTTTTGCATGTAAAATTACATTACTATCCTTTTGATTCTTTGTTGATTTAAAAAAAAAAAAATTTGAAATGACTTGAATAGCTTTGACTTTAATTACATAAATTTAAAATTATTCTTTATATATATACCAATTTCATCACCACCAAATTTTGTGACCCAATTCTTACAATTCTCCTCCTCTTCTTTTCTCAGCGCTCCGTCTCTTATCTCCACTTCTTACAGTTGCCAACTCCAAACCAAACTAATGCAAATTTTGAAGGCGTTTTTAATTTAGGCTCGTTTGTTTCAACATAAAATATTCTTTTTGAAAAATATTTTTTTTCAGACTAAATATTCTTTTATTTTTTCTTTATCGGTGTATAACAAAGGTCTACGTCGATGTTGAGGTTGAGTTCATCGGGCGGGGCATATAAAATAACTTGCCGAAAATTTATGAATAAATTAATTTTGTTAAATTTTAATATTTTTTTTTTCATAAATATTTTACGATAACCAAACACCAAAAAATAAAAAAAATATTTTTTGAAAAATATTTTACATCTAAACAAACGGAGTCTTAATACAAATTATACTTACTTATCAAAATAAATAAATAAATAAATAAACAAATAAGGCAGCAATATCTAACTCCAACTATCACAAGCCGGCGACAACCTGGTTTGATCTCCATGGACAGTGACCTAGTGGTTGCCATCCTTTATCAGCAGCATGGGTCGCATAATTGCCATACAAATTGCTACAGATAAACCGCAAATGCATGGTTGCGGTTTTCGGCAACAACTCCGATGATCGACAGTTGCCTTACAGCGACGCCACTGGTAAGGAGAATAGAGAAAAAGAGTTCGTCGGTGGGTGGTCGAACAAGATGGGTTCGTAAGGGTGGTAGTGGTTCATCTTTGATACAGGTATATAGGATATGTGTGCAGGAAAACAGGGTGTAGTAGAGGAGAGTGAAAGGTTATAGATCGAGAAAGAGTATTTGGGAAGGAAAGAAAGAAAGGGAGAGCGTATTTTAGTCTTTTTAATTTTTAAAATTACACTTTTAACTATGTCGAAAAAGTAAAATTGAACCTAAATGATAGTAATCTTTAAAAATTGGTACAATGTAATATTTGGCGAAATATGAAGGAGTAAAGTAAAATTAATCCTTATTTTTTTTTTTTCAAAAATCACCTAACGTCACTGTTTCGTTTGGTTTTTCAAATAAGCAGGTGACTTAGGCCATAATTTCAAAATGACAAAGTTACCCCTATTTTTGTTTTGTTTTATTTTTGGCCCCTATTATTGTTGGGAGGGGAAAGTCTGAAAAACACCCATATAATTTTAAATTTGTGCGAATTACACCCCTATAGTTTAATTTGTTTATATACAATGACCATTTTAAACCCTTTATTCCCGAAATTGCCCTTCTTAATTCGTACTCTGTAGTGTGTGTACTTACAACTTAGTGTGTTATGGTTATAACATCTGGTGGTACAGTTTATACAGTGTCTCTCATTTATTGGCTTAACCCACATCACCTATTTTAAAATAACGAGACAAACAAACAAACTGACCATCCAAATGTTCATCTCTTTCTCTCTCTGTGTACAAAAGTTACATTTTCCATCTCTCGATTCTCTGCACTGCCAAACACCATCAAACGAAGGAAAATTATGTTACGTTTTCACTATCACCCCTATTTTTACATATACAAGTCTTTTTTTTATTTTTTTTTTATTTTATTTTTTCACACTCTCTAGTCTCTATCTTTCTATACATAATTATACACATACACACACACACACACACATATATATAAGCTTAATAGAATTTCCTGGCCAAGCCAGTTAAATCTCAATAGAAATGTCTCCCTCTCCCCCTAGTCGGTTAAATCTCTGAGCCAAACCTTATTCTTCAGCTACACTGCCCTACTAAACATGCAAGCTTTCAGCTTACTCAACCTCTGGCGAAATGCCAGTGGTGATTCCACTGCCGGAAGCGGCAGAAAGGACTCGGACACTGCCATCTCAACCATTCACAAAGTAAGCCATCAGTCAACCGTGGAAACTGACGATGATGAGTCTTTCTTCGATTTGGAATTCACTTCACCTTATTGTGATGACAAGGAAGAAACAATGCTAGAGATGTCAATGATGAAGATATAGATAGAAATGAAGTTCGATTTCGTTGAATCTACAAAAGATGTCTT